GGGGGGGGGGGGGGGGGGGGGGGGGGGGGAGAGGGAGGCCCGCGCGCGGGCGGCCATTGCGCCGGTCTTGCACCACACCCATAGTCGGCCGGGACGCCGGGCGCCAGAGCCCAGCCCCGTGCGTCGTCTGCCCGGCCGCCCCGGCCCTCCGCAAGTCATGGGCACAATACGGGCCGTTACCGGCCGAGGCAGCACGACTCCCGGGCGCGAGGGGAGGGCCTTCCAAGCGACGGCACATCGGAAGGTTCTGGCAAGTTGCCCTGGTGGCCGGGCCCGCTCGCCCGCGCGCATCGTCCGGCGGCGGCCACGCGCCGGCCCGGCGGCCGGGGAGCCGTGTGGAGCCTGCAAAGAGATGCGGTCCACCAAGGGCGGGCGGCCGCAGGGGGGAGGGGGGGGCCCAGGGCGGGCAGGGTTATTAACACGCGCCCTCCGGGCGACGCCAAGCCGCGCGCCAGGAGCGAGGGGGCGGGGGGGGGGGCGGACAAGCGACCGTATCCCGCCGCGGCCTACCCCCGGCCCCTCGCTCCCTGTTTCCGCCCCTCCCTCCTCCTCTCCCCCTGGTGCGCACTAGCAGCACCTCCTTGGCGTGCGGGGGGAGATCCCCCCCCCTCGCCAGAGGCACATGCTGGAAGAGCACACACAGGCAGGCGCCGGGCCCAGGGCTCCGCGCCACACACACACACACGCGCGCGCGCGCGCGCGAGACGCCTGGCGTGCCAATCCTAAATACCAGCCCTCTAGATACTAGCCGGAGAGGCCCGCCCCCTCCGGCCGGGGGCGCGGCGGCCCTCTCTGCCCTCACCCGGCGCGGGCGGACCGCGCCTCTGGCCGGCTGCGAGGACGCACGCGTACGCGGCCGTGGGCGAGCCCCCTCCCCTGGAGCGCGTTGTGGGGCGTACCGCAGGAAACCCGGCGATGCAGGCGCGGATCTGCCCCGTAGACCGCGCCCTGGGGTGAGGTCGGCAAGGGCTCCTCCCCCCTCCCCCCCCCCCAGGTATGCGCCAATTTGACAGGGCACGGAGGCACTCGCCCGCCCACCCGTCTGCACCCCATCCGGCGGCGCCCGCATCGTGCCCGAGATCGCCCCCGGCCCCCCCCCCCCCCCCCCCCCCCCCCTCTTGCCGCCCGGAACCTCACGCAGGACACCTCTCTCCACCAATCGGCTCTCCTGTCAGCTGATGATGAGCCCGAGCATCGCGCACGCCGTGGTCCGGCTCGACAAGTCGCTTTTTTTCTCCAACGCATAGAAAAATACACCCTCAGCTGGGGGGAAGAAAAAAAAAAGAGTGACAATAGTAATATACAAAGCATAGTTGTGTTTGTTTTCAATCAGTGGCTTCCCTCCGTGTGTGCCGGGGGAGGGGTGCGGGCGGCGGGGCACGCGGGCGCACATGGCCCACGAGCAGGGGGGACAATGCGCGCGGTCATGCACATGTAGACGCTTATGTACCACCGCCAGCGCCCCCCGCTCAGGTGAAGATACCGCGCGCGGCGATCACCACGAAGATGGTGAGCGACACACCGACAATCAGGAAGTACATGACGATGTCGGAGATGCGCAAAGCCAGACGCGCGCCGAACAGAGACCCGAGCACGCCGAAGGGCAAACTCAGCAGGAGCAAGTACAGGACATTGATGTCGTCCATGCCCTCGCGGCCGGGGAAGGTGAGAGTCATGGCAAACATGACCATGGTCATGATGAGGCAGCCAGTGCCGGCGGCCAGGCGGACCGGCGCATCCCACGCATTGACCAGGACATTGGAATAGAACATGCCGCCGCCGGCGTACAGGGTGCCGGACACGATCCCCAAGATGGAGTTGATGACAATGGTGATGCCGAAGCGCACCGGCCGGCGGGTCTGCGGCGACTGCGGCCCAAAGAGGGTGTCCTGCTCCGGGTAGAACCGAGCCACCAGGTACGCCCAAATGGACGCCCAGGAGGTGAAATCCACCGCGGACAGGGGAATGAGCGGCGGCCGGGGGGGCGCCGCGGCGACCGGGGCATCGGGATGGGCCTTGGCCTCGGCATCCGAGTCGTGCTCCGCCTCCGCCTCCTCCTCCGGCGAGGGGTGCTCCTCGCCATCCTCAGGCTGGTGGTTGACCGTGGCACCGGTGATGGCCGGCGCGAGCAGGTCCTCATCGGCGGTCTGGCCGCTGGCGCCCGCGCCGAGCGACATGTCCGAGGTGTACTTGTGGCTGCCGCCGGCCGAGCCGACGGTGCCCGACCCCTGGGTGGGGAGGTCATCCTGGGACGGGCTGCCGGAGTGCAGGAGGCTGGACTTCTCGGTGTAGACGATCGGCTCGTCGTCCTGCTCGTCGTCAGCCCCATTGCTGGCATGGTAGACATCCTCGGTTTGGGAGTCCCCCAGGAGCGGGGCCTCCTTGTCGGCCTCGGTGTCGGCGGCGGCGGCCTCAGCCTCGCGCTTGGCCTTGCGCTTGCGATACACGGCCAGGCAGCCACGAATGAGGAACTGCACGGCGATCATCAGCGGGACGAAGGACACCGCGGACTTGAGGGCATCCTGGTGGTTGAGGATGAAGTCCGCCAGAACAATGGACATGATGACCGTCAGGCAGAGGGACAGGCCGCCGAAGATGCCGGCGTACTTCCAGTCAACCTGTGTGCCGGGAGGCGGGAGATTGGTCGATGGTGAGTGGCAGCAGGGGGCAGGGGGGG